TAGTACTGTAGAATTAATTCATGATGCCAATAAAAACTCCTTTTTCCATATAATATGTGCTTATAGCACATATATTTTTTTAATACTTAAGTTCAAGTTTACTAAGATATCCGTGACATAGAATAATTGCTTATTATCTAATCAAATTTCAATATTTTGATGGTGTACTGTAATTTTTAATACTCACGAAATAATTTGAAACCATAAAGTAAACTACATTATTCTATTAAACAATACTCAATGGATGTTTGTAGTGTTTTAATTGCCGAATTCAAACAAAAACTGGATGAATAATGTAAATAAAATTCCATTTTAATTAGGAACTCGTCGTTTACATACAGAGATAGTGGGTGCTTTCCGATAGTAATTTTATTTTCCCACATTCACTGTAAAAACACTCAACGATCTTTTAAACTAATTTTCATTTATGACAACTTTTTCACAATTTCTACACTTTTATGTGATATATAATAGACTTGTTGGATAAATAATTATTGTATACGTCTTTTAATGCTATACAACAAGTCTAAAACGTAAACTTTTACAATCTCTTATTACTTTAAATGTGGGTTTTGGATAATATTAAAATACATAAATAACAATTTGTTATAACTAATTATTGGTAAACATATTGATATAAATAGTTTTAATTGTTCTATGAATATTAGATTGAATATGAATATACATTTTAAGTGTTCATTTTATTATTATTTTATTATTTATTGCACAGTGACCTGAAGGAAAAACAAGCAATTCATAGGAAATAAATTACACAAAAGTCATTATCAGCTACATTAAAATCAATAATAAGTTTGGTGTTTATTTTTCGATTTCTTAACGTCTGTATTTTTCTACATACATTTATTATAAAGATCGTTTTTAGTAGCCCTTTAAATTATACATTATAATTAATTGTATAATATTTTAAGCTTCTTTGGTGACAGAATTGATTTCAGATAGCGCAAGTAGTTAAAAATGAAAAATTTTAAACTGGTTTTTAAGGTTTACTTTTAAGTCAGTTTGTATCTGATTTCCAACAAATGATTTCTCCATTTCTCCAGAATAGCACAAAATAAGCAGTAGCATACTCATCGAACCGCGTATTCAAATGTCAGAAACATTCAACAATTCCCTTCGGATGACCCATAAGGATAAAATATCTTTAAACATCATTTGATAAACGATTTTTGCTCATTATATATCTGAAAACACAAAAAATAGTAAAATAACACTTGTAATAACTTATACTATTTACTCATAAGACGGTAAATACAGATAAAAGATTGTACGTGATGATCGATTTCACCTATTGGGTCTGATGATGATTGGAGTGTCCAATCGAAATCGACCACCACTTTCCATCTTTTATACGTATTTACCGTCTTGTGAGTAAACTAATTAAACTTAATTAGCCTAACTTAAGATGGAAGGTTGCCTTTGTTTTATATTATATATGTCGACGTGAGTTGTTTTGAAAAACATATGTTGTAATATGAAAAACGCTCAAGAATAAAGACGATTATCATTTCATTTCATTCATTTAAACAGTTTAAGTGTAAATATATTATTAAAAGTTTTTTTAACGTATTTTTGTGCTTTCAGGTAATTTAATAACAATTACTATACTGATATAGAAGTTATTCATGTACAAAAAAATATTTGAAAAATCATTGATACTATATATACATATTTGGATTCAAACAGAATATCAAACTGAACCTATTCCGAAAATCTGTAAAACCTCCCGATTGACGAGGCTTCGCAAAAACTAAACTCACTAATGAAATAACTCATCAGCCGTTTAAACACGCACTGTTTATTTGTAGCGGGAAACGCTAGCAATAAACAGTGAAATTTGGCGCGAATAAACAAGCATTTGGCGGGACAGTGTAAAACGTCACACGGACAGACAAATCAAAAATAGCGATTAGTTGTCATTGTCAGTGCTGTAGTTAGTGTAATTCAGTAATTGGTGGCAGTGTTGGTGTCGGGGGTGGTTTTGGAGGGGGGTGTTCGTTTTACATAAATAAATACCCGCGCAAATGTACGACCCACGGCTCACCACTGGCTTAGCGTTCATCGGCGTTTTATTATAATTTACACGATTGTTGGAATTTATATAGCTTGTAGTGTATAATTTGGGTAATTTAGTAAAATATTTGTATAATTTTACTAGTATTTTTGTATGTTTTAAAATGTTTACTTTATATGTATTTATAATTACATGAATGAGTTGTTGCAAGCGCTACAAAGGCTTTTGTAGTACGTCCAAAGTTTTCAAATATGGGCAATATAAATAAGTGTGTGTACAGTTCGTCATTGGATTTTGTACTTTTAATATACTGAAAACTGCCTTACAACAAAAATAATCATATATTTTCTACTTAATTCCAATGAGCTTATGATTATTAGCACAGAAAACATACTACCCTAGTATGTTTTCTGTTATTAGGTTGATTTGTTAATAATTTGTTTATGTCGATTCGTTATAAACATTATTTTATCTACGAGCCCTTTATCATACTAGATATATCTTTAACAACCGAATAATAGTTTAATTCGCTCAAAAAACCAAGTCCTTATTAAGATCATTAAGATTACTTATAATTATTCTACATACTCCTTTGACGGAGAAAATGTATAGGAAATACATTAATTTTATATTGATTAGCTTTAAGATTTTCATTTAAGTTTGCACGTGAAACAAAGATAAATAAAATTAACTTTGTAAACTTTATCCCGCAGGAAATATTAACCTTTACAGTACACAGCTAAATTTACCAAAAAATAATATGTAAATCGTTTAGTCATTAACAAAGCACTACAGTAACCGAAAACTGGAATCAAATCATTTAGATTTTGGAATATAATTAGAATACCACTTGCAGCATCCAAATTTAGAGGTATAATAAATAGCAGTATATTCCCTAACACATTTAAACGCACGCACTACCCTCAAAATGTAATATGTATACGTGTTTAGTGTTCTCGTCCGCAAATGTGACATCTCATAATTATATTCTGCAAAAAACTTCGCCGATTGGGAATTTGCGCTCGCTGACACCAAACATAAACATTGTCGAGTTCATTATAAATAAATAAATCTGGATATCACAACATATCGTTGATGTCATTAGTAGCGACGAAAAAACCCGGGTATTTATCGAGGATATCACTGATAATTATCGTCATTCTGAAATCTGTGTTGCTTTATTATCACGTTTGAAAAGTAAAGTACACATTTTTATCCAGGGTAAAAAACAATTTATTTAAATATAAACAAGTTAATAAAATATTAAACTGTTTTGATGTTTCATTTAAGCCCTCCATTCCCACAACGATTGTTAAAGGATTTGCAATTTTTCTATTTTTTAATTAATTGTGTTTTTTAACTAATTATAAAATAGATAAGTAACTACTAATACTAACACACGTGGATTTTTGTCACACCAAGCTGGAAATGGTAATGGTATAGCATAATTTATGCCCTCGTCCAATATAATATCTTGGTATGAGATACTAAAAGTAAAATAGAAATTGATACATGCTCAATAAGACTCAAACTAACTTTTCTTTCAGCAAGAGATTGACTTCAACTGGTCTGTATAAATCACAACTCAACCATAAAACCATCTCTTCCATTGTTCCTTTTACGTATATAAGTGTGAAAATCTTTGAAAATAAAATTAAAAAAGGAAATGAATTAAATCATCAAACTTAACGTTTAACAGACAAGTTAAATGTAACTTCCCGTTAGAATGAGAAGTTTAAGTAGCTCACGCCTGTCACATTTCTACAGTGACGTTACGTTTCATAAGTCTTTGAATTAAACTTCTAGGAAGGAATAATAAATTGGAACCTTGAGTCTGACAGCGATATCGCGATTTCATTACTTCTCAAAGATTTCTTTCAGTAACTTCAAAAATGAAAAGTATCATAACTTTGCCAATCTCTGATTTGAATTCAAATATTGTACATTGTTGCTTTTAGAGGTTTTAGAGTGTTTTGTCTGTAGAAGTTGTATGTCTTAAATAAATATGTAATCTTTTTAGGACATAGTGCATAAATAAATCTTATTGGTTTCAACAGTTTTTGACATCAATAAATTAACAATAAAAACCATCAACTCAAACTTCATCTGAAATGGACATAACCGAAATCATTCTTCAGCTGATTCATGATATATGATAACTATATAGATCCATCTTTAATCAATGCCATTTAGGATAACTTCTTCTGCAATTAAATCCAAACCTTTTGTCTGACCTCATTCTTCCATTGTTCTTTCATTTTGATCCTTAAGTGATCACTGACGCAAACTCCTTAAAAGGAGCGAGGGATATCTCCAGTAGCTTTTTAACGGTTTCTAGACTAGACTAAATGCCTTTAGCTTTAGTGGTTTTGGTTAAAGAAATCAGCTGTTCGTCAGTAACAGTAACTGGCTGGGTAGCTGAGTGGTTATAGTGCTCGCCTATTAATCAAAAGGTCTCCGGTTCGATCCTGTGAAAAGCCAGTAGCTTTTTGATCGTTCGAAAGTGGACCCAGCTGTTCCTGATCATTGGGCTTTAAATAAATGATCCTGACTAATGAAACCGCTGATCTTAGTCAGTAACAAAGCTATAGTAGTTCGGCCGCTAAGAAAGCGACCTCCTCTAGCATTGGTTTAGCATTAGCGCGCAGGTCGTTTTCTATGCGGCCGAACTACACACCATTCCATGGTGGAAGTAAATACACCATTCTACACTCATCCTTAACTCATATTTGGGTTAAAATACGCACCTAGGTGGCGTCCCCATCTCAACGATTGATTATTGATTTGATTATTATTGATTAACATAGATGTCATTTCGACCAATCCTTAGTCATATTTGCCTTAATATATGCTCCCTGGTGTGTTGTCGAGGAAATCAAGATGATTCCAACACCAAAGTTCAACTTAGTTCTCCAGTACAGATTACCACCATCTTCTAGAGGTTTTCTAATACAAACCTCGGTTTCAGGTGTGGTTCCAGAACCGGAGGGCCAAGTTCCGGAAGCAGGAGCGGCTGGCGCAGCAAAAGGCGTCGTCCCAAGGTGAAGGGTCACCAGGGGTCAAGTCGGAGGTCAAGGTCAAGGAGCTCAAACCTTCAACCCCCAACTCACCACCTCAGGACGTCAAACCTGTCAATGGCTCCGGTATGTAAATCACCCTTTATTACAGAAAACATACTACTATAATAGTACTATTGTAGTACTATAATCCTTATATATAATACGTGAAGGCGATTTCTACGAAACACTACTCCTCCGTCAATAATGGACGGATTTTTACAAACGATGTGTCACAATTAAGTATTTTTTGTGTAGACGCCCCCTTTCACCAATTTCTGCAATAAAAGTCCTAGGGCTTTGCCCCACAGGCCATCAAAATCCCCATGTATTTCTTATGAAGAAAAGATTATGTTTACTTAAACAGAGGAATATTTGTAATAATTACAGCTGTTCTTAGATACAATAAGAGCGTTCGTTTCCAGTTTGGATAACTGGAGTGGAGTGAACGTTCGTTTTCAGAATGAGTTCAGTTCATTTATACTTTCGATAACTGGTGTGGAGTGATTGATTATTGATCTTTGAGTTGACTCTTTTTAAGTCATCGAAAATTATGACTGTTATTCGTTTTGAAATAACGCCTGCAACAATTTGCAACGAATTCGAGCAACAGGTGCACTAGTAGTACTATAGTAGTACTATAATAGTACTATAGTAGTACTGTAGTAGTAGTAATAGTAGTATGTTTTCTGTGTCTTTACGCTCTCCACTGTCAAGGGTTGTAATAAATGCTGAATACGTATTCCCATGTTAAAGTTGGCACCGGTTTTAAAATCAAAATCGTCGTAGTTTATGTGAGCCACCGACAGATTGTTCTGATCTAAATCACTAATTTCTGTCGAATAATGGAATGACTTATGTTGAGCTAAGCAACTGTTACGACCAATCAACTTGGTCAGCAACAAATATGGTAGAAAATGGAACTTCATGCCATAGCGCATTCTGTGCCTGGCTCACATAACTGTATTATTTTTAAATAAAAAAAAAATGGTGACAGCTGTTCCATATAGATGGGATGTCTACTTCAGTATCCAATAGTCAATGGGCTTACAAGTAGGAAGTAGAAAAAAGAAATGGAAAAAAACTGTGCACATAAAAAATTGTTACAGATAGATTTAGAAGCCGTTCAATGTTGAAAATGAACGATTAAGTTAGTTAATTGTCAGAGTAGTTAATTAGATGTGTAATTTACTTCTTTAACGATAATTCCTAATTTAATCTAAAATATTGGAAAGTACAGTAGACGGTGCGGCGCGTCGCGCCATATATTAACCCTACGCAAAATGCATTCTGCACTCATTTTGCCTATTTTCGCCTGGCTTATATTATAATATTCTGTATATCAGTACGTTATAATATTTGTCCACTTTTTTCACATTTTGGTAGTCGGGGTTTAAAATGCGATTTATAATTAACCTTGAATTGCTATTTTCATTATTTCTTAGTTGGTATAAAGAGGGACACAGCGTAATTCGATTGGTTGCTTGTATAATAATAAAATTGGCAAAACAGTTAAACATGGGAATGGAATTTCTACAAAATATAAACACTCAAGGGAATTTAGATATTTTGCAGAACACTAATAAAATGTTTAACACATTTATTAATTGCTTTAATCAAATATATTTTCTCTAACATGTAAATTAACAGTTTGAGTTTTTTTATTTGTTTTAGCCACACTTATCTGGCAGATGGATTGCACGTTTACAATTGTTTTTGATCATCATTTTGTAAATTTTATAAATTGAGTGTTCTATAATCAAAAAGAATTGCCCACCACTATCTTTTTATTCCTTTTGTTTGTCTTCATTTACCTGTAGTCTCGTGAAAAATTAAGCTAATTTCATCTATTTACCACATCAAAAAATCTCAAACAGACAATCTGTGTTCAAGGAGAGAGTGTTGTTTTTTGTTCTTGTAAACGCAAATGTTATAAGGCTACATCTTATTACAAATTGGTATTACAACACTGTTTGATGAGATATGGTCGCACTTCTGTTCTTCTCTCTTTCACATCCTAGTACGCTAGCTCCAGCCCGGAACTGTTTTACACATTACTTACAACCCCAATATGAATGTTAGATTAGTGTTCGTTTAGTATTGTGAAACTTTGTTACGGATTAAGCTACTTATGAAGCCAGAAATATTTAATAAAGGCTAAATGATTAAACAGGTAAATTCTTAATACTTTAAGTACTTTAGTACTCTTAGGTACTTTAATAGTTTGAAATGGTGACGAATGTAGGTGTGTTAGTGAATGGAGAGTTTAGGAAGATTGGCTCCGATATTTACACTCTGTAACCACTAACTCACTCCAATCCACATCCAAATGTCAGTCGAATCCAATCCGTCTAACTACTGCGACGATCCCGCACTTAACCTAATGCGTTTAAAAGTTAATTACGGCTGCATAGAGTGCAGCACCGGCCGGGCGCATGTGCGCATCTGACGCTAATGGATAAGAACGATCGTCCAAGCAATTTTCTAGATTAAACGTCAACCGGGGGGGGGGGAGCGCAACAGATAGCCGGCAAAAATGATCGAGAGAGTAGTCCGTTCCGGCGTTCCGCGTCGATGAAATATGGGACAGGGAACAGCCGGACCGGGCCACTTTGTCTTGGAAAACTGGTATCAATCTTTCCGATTTGACGTTCACTTGAATAAATCACCTTTTATTCGGTTCGATTTTGAGGAGGGTTGTATATGGATTGAATATCCAAAGGTTCAATATGTGAATTTATTTAATTTTATAAACAACGGTTTTGTCCGCTTATTATTTGTGCAGTTTTACTATATAATTGGATACCGTCTAAGACTTAGTATTATTAGTATCCTATGTTACGTTTTGTTGATAATCATTAATTGAAAGTTTATAAATATTGCTTCTGTGTTGAGAAATCGATCCAGTTTGTAATTGGAACAGCAAAAAAAAACTTGGGTACAAAGATATTTTAGTACTATTTATTAACGTTTCTACTTCAATATTTTTTAGGCATGACAGCCTACTTATTTTGATATAAATACCACATTGAGATAAAACATGAATGTACTCATATGTGAATTGTAGCTAAATTACTTTTAATATTTATTAATTACTGTATTTTCAAAAATAATATTTAAATTTAATGAAATATAAATTAGTGAAGAAGAAAAACTATATTCAAAAATACCATTATAAAATTAAATAGTGTCTAGGTAGGAAATATTTCTTTTGTACTGTCCAGTGTCCAGGTGTGAAGTAATTGTTGGAAGGAAAGCTAAAGAAAAGGAAGAAAATGTGCTTGTGGTGGAAGATATAGAGAGAGATGGATGTGGGAGCCAAGTCTCCAGTGATTTAAATATCCAAAATTGAAAATTAACATTCAGAATACATATAAATATTGAATATAAAGAGACATAAAGAAAGAAGATAATCACTATTCAACAAATTGGTAATATCAACTTTAATTAACACTTCAAAAACTCATCATCAATTTACAACCACCATCACACCACATTGTGAATTGACTAAATTCAAGTGACTTTCAATTAAGAACTTATATAGCCTAAATTTTTTTATTCTCATTATTAGCCTATCTCATATTATTTAGCCTATATTAGTACTGTATAAATTAAGTTAATCAGCCTATCAGAATTCCATACCCGGCACGAACCAACCCCTAGATTTAAGATAATTTGCTCTCCAAATTGTTATCTAGCCTAGCCCATCAAAAACTTAGACCAAAATATATTTCACTGTCATAGCCTAGCCCAATGAGATTGTTAATAGCTATAGAACCTAAATATATTTTATTGTAACTTCATTGTAATTTTATTATCTAATTTAAGTAAATTCATATTTTGAAATTCATTAATAAAGAGGAGTAGGTTGCAAAATGGCGTCCCAACGAGTGGGCTATTGAAAATTCTGATCTAGGCCTAACCTACGATTAACCTACACAATTTAAGATAGGCCCTAGTAACCAAATTAACACACAACTAACAAACCTTCAAATACACAAATAAAAAGTATATGCAACAACACAGGGAATAATCATTTATTTAATCAATATGAGTGACGATGACAAAAGGTACAATTTACGACCAAAGCCGAAGTTATCGTGGAAGGCAGCCGAAAATAATTTGCGTTACAATACCGACAGTTAATCAGACCCAGACGATAATTGTGGCGAATTAGCAAATGCTAATAAGCAAGATAATTTTGTGAACACCGTAAACAACATACAATCAAACGACATGAATACACAGCACAACGAAGGACACAATCTACAAGAAAATATTCATACACAAAGCATCACTAGAACAGCAACAGACAACACAGCAGCAGACGCACAAGACAACGCCGCCATGACATCCGCATCGAATTCACACCAGCCAATGGGAACACTGGGAATGGTGGAACGAGAACTGGACACAGCAGAAGGACTTGACATAGAGGAGAAGAAGAACGGCGGAGATGAATTGTCACAACAGCAGACAGACAAATCAGCTGATGTGAGTGACGTCACTATGAAAGCCACCACACTGACATCGAATGAACATACGACTGGAGTCACAGACATCGCATCACTGCCTCTAACAGCTGCGAGTGAAATAAATATGAATGATTCTATTCTTCAATTAATGCGAATGGTTCAACAGAATAATGCATTAATAATTTCACAACACGACACATTAAAATTAGAAATACAATCTGAAATGTCAGAAATAAAATTACAAAATGATAATTTAAAATCAGAAATTCAGCGTGAAATCAAACAGTGCCAGATTTCCCTTGAAGAAAAAATCACCTCTGTTAAAACCAACCAAGAAAACATGCGTAAGGAAATGGATCAGATACAAATAACTCAGATTCAACATTCCAAAGAGATCCTTACAATGAAAGAAACGTTTAAAGCAGAAATATATGAATGTGATACCAAAATACGTGAAAATTTAATCCAAGACTTAGAAGAACAAAAATCCAAAATGAAGTCCATGATAATCCAAAATAATTCTCAAACTCTTGAAAAAGTGAATTTGGAAATACAAAAACAAAAATATGATATTCATTCACAGATAAACCAATTCAGGTTGGAACATGAACA